TGTTGGCCAGGCTGGTCTCGAACTCCTGAACCCAGGTGATCTGCCTGCCTCAGCCTCCCAAAGTGTTGGGATTACAGGTGTGAGCCACTGCACCCGGCCTAATTTTTTTTTTAAATGAAGGTAAGTTTACTTCTGGAGGAGATGGAGTAACAGGGACAGGTTTGCCTTACACCTGAAACATTGGAGACTCAGCAAAACATGTGAGACGGCAGCCCCCAAGAGACGGGACATCAGGACACCATGGACAAGATCCTGAGGGGGGAGATGGGTGAGGGGAGCCCTCGAGGACACTGGCTACTTGCCTGGGAAGGCATCCCGGCCGCCACACAGGGAAGGGGAGTCAGAGTGGGGCATGGCCGTGAAGTGGCACGGTTGCATTTTCAGGATGGCAAACTCTGGTTCTTCAAAAGATGCTGTTGAGAAAATGGGTCAACAGGCCCCAGACTGGGCGGAAGTGTTTGCAAAGCCTGCATCCGACAAGAGACGCCGCCTAAAATACGGCATGGTGGCTCACTCCTGTAATCCCAGTACTTTGGAAAACTGAGGGGGGCAGATCACCTGAGGTCAGGAGTTCAAGACCAGCCTGGCCAACATGGCAAAACCCTATCTCTACTAAAAATACAAAATTAGCCAGGCAAGGTGGTGCATGCCTGTAATCCCAGCTACTCAGGAGGCTGAGATAGGAGACTCTCTTGAACCCAGGAGGCGGAGGTTGCAGTGAGTCGAGATTGTGTCACTGCACTCCAGCCTGGACAACAGAGCAAGACCCAGCAGAGAGAGAGAGAGAGAGAGAGAGAGAGAGAGAGAGAGAGAGAAAGAAGGAAAGAAGGAAGGAAAGAAAGAGAAAGAGAAAGCAAGCAGATTGGCAGTTTCTTACCAAGTTTAACATACAGTCCCCTTAAACCCAAGTAATCTCACACATATTCATTCAAAATAAATGAAAACATGTGTCCATACACAGACTCATATTTAAACGTTAAGAGCAGCTTTACTCACGAGAGCCCAGAACGGCATATGTGCCCAGCGCCCATCAACAGGTAGGCAGTTAAACAAACCGAGGTGTGAGCGTGCAGTGGAGTGCAATATTACTCAGCAGTAAAAAATCCACCGCCGACACACACAGCAGTGTGGTGGGTCTACAGAGTGTGGCTCTGAGGAAAGCCAGGCATGAAGGACAGCTCTGCGAGAAGTCCACTGCACACGGTGACACACAGCGGCCGAAAGCAGTGTGTCGTCTTGGGCTTGGGAGGTCTGCGTCCCAGCTCAGTCTCTCTCACAGAGCTGCAGTCAGATGTCAGCCAGGACCTCGGTCTCCAGGCTCAACGGTGGCAGCATCCCAGGGTGGCTGCTGGAGTGAGTTCCCTCTGTCTCAGGGTGGGGGGTAGGGTCTGGCTCTCACAGCTGCCTTCAGTTCCTGGCCCATGAACCTCCCCACCTCAGCTAGCAACATAGCACTGGCTTCATCAAAGTGAGGAGGGGCAAGAGTGCCCCGAGACCTGAACCGCCGCTTTTTATAAATGAATCTCAGATGTCTCATCACTGGTTTTATTTTTTTGAGATGGTCTCTGTCGCCCAGGCTGGAGTGCAGTGGTGCGATCTCGGCTCACTGCAATCTCTGCTTCCCAGTTCTCCTGCTTAGCTTCCCCAGTAGCTGGGGTTACAGGCACACACCACCACACCAGGCTAATTTTTGTATTTTAGAAGAAATGGGGTTTCACCATGTTGGCCGAGCTGGTCTCGAACTCCTGACCTCAAATGATCTGCCTGCCTCGGCCTCCCAATGTGCTGGGATTACATGTGTGAGCCACTGCACCTGCCTTTTGATTTTTATTTTTAGACACAGGGTCTCATTCTGTCACCCAGGTTGGAGTGCAGTGGTGCGATCATGGCTCACCGAGGTCTCCACCTCCTGTGCTCAAATGGTCCTCCCACTGCAGCCTACTGAGTACCTGGGACCACAGGCCTGTACCACCACACATGGCTAACTTTTTTTCTGTAGAGTTGGGGTCTCCCTATGTTGCCCAGGCTGATCTCAAACTCCTGGGGACAACTGATCCTCCTGCCTCGGCCTCCCACAGTGCTGGGATCACAGGCGTGGCCGCCGTGTCCGGCCCATCACTCTTGATGGATGGCAACGGCAGGTTGCTTGGTCCAGACCACATGTGAGGAGGAAAGCCACACCACAGGATGGGAGGGATCGTGGGAGCCATGGGAAGAGGCTGCAAACCCACCTTCCTGCCGGACAGTCCTGTTGACGAACTGCTGATCACCTGAGGTCAGGAGTTCGAGACCAGCCTGGCCAACATGACAAAGCCCCATCTCTACTGCGTATGAGTTCTGTCCATTTGTTGGGCAGCCAGATACTGCTTCCCCCAGCAGCCCCTCTGAGGCCTTTGCATGCTGTTGCCTCAATAGGGCTTGATCTAAAGTAGGATGTGTTTGTTACTTGATCCGCAGCCCTTTTGTTAGAAATGCTACTTTGTCTCTAAGGTTTTCTACAGCAGGAAAAAATTCAAATTGCCACTTTAAAAACATAAAATCCGAGAATAGAACACCAACTTCTCCACATTAAAAATGAGTAATTGTTCTTGGATATCTATTTAACTCAAGTATGGAAAAAACGTTCTAAGTGCTGGAGCTGGATTGCTCTCCCGTTCTCACGGCCCTGGAGGCTAGAGGCAGCAGCGACACTGAGCGTGGTTTCCGGTGGAACCACAGCCTTTGTGGCAGGCCACGGCCCATCTCAGGCTGCTACATGTATTTTGCATTTGGTCATTTCTGCCAAGTTTTCTCTGCTTATCCAAATGAACGGAGTCCATCTAAAAACCACAGGATTAATAATTGCCATCCAAACTCGGTAACGTTCTTCCCTGCTGTGTCCCTGCCATTTTCTCTGTTTGGTGCATTTTCCCAGGAAAGTAGCAGAACAACCTCACAAATACATCAGGAGAGGGGTTTAAATTTAGCGAGCGCCGTTTTCTCTCATGGATCCCGGTGAGTCACCTCCACCTCCCAGGGCCGTCCTGCTGCTGCCGAGCTGCAGCAGTGGACAGGGGCCAGCTCCCCGCCCACGCCTCGGACTCGATGCTGTCCCTCCCCTATGCTGTGGGCATCCCAGCATCCAGCAAGGTGTCAGTCCAGAAGAAACGGTGTAAGTGGGCTGCAGGCTGGCACCTGAATGTCCACCTCAACCCGCAGACCACACTCATGTGGCTTTCTGTGTGCCCTGTGGGACATCACTGCCCAGGGAAGAACCAAGGCAGAGACTCCCAGGGGCTAAGAGGCAGGACGTTCATTCCTTCAAGAGCCAAGTGCTCCCATTCTGCTCCGTGCCATGTGGGGAGAGTATAACGCCTCCCTGAGCTGAGCAGAAGAAACAGGCAGCAGCTCTTGCCCTAAGCACCCACTCAAAGGGCTCTGGACAGATCCTTCCAATGGAGAGGCAGTTTCACGTGGTGTTCCAGTAAGCAGGGAGAGTGGCTGTGAAGGAATACTGGGTGTGTAGGGGCTGAGGGCTCTGGGTGTGAAGTCTGAGCTGACAGACCCTCCACTTTGCACTCTCAGTGGTGCCAAGACAAGGGGGTGAGGAGCACGGACCCCATCTCAAATGGGGAGACTTCCACTGATGGAGAGATCCTCCTTGCTGCTAGTTCTGAAAGCCTCATCAAAGTCTCACTCGGAGGGTGGGTTCTCCCGAAGAACAGGATGTGGGGGGCATAACCTCCATATTCCCCAGAGAGCGGGCAGCCCACACCTCTGCAAGGGGGATGCTCATCATCAAACAAGACGACCCAAGAATCTTTCTAACAGAGTTCAGCGTCCTGCACTTCTGACACTGAGGAACCCAGTTGCGACTCTCACCCCGTCATTTTGTAATAGAAGAAAACAAAGCTGGGAAATAATTCCCTAAGGTTGCCTGCCAGTTTGGAGCAGAGCTGGGACTGGCACCCAGACCTCCAACTCCTGCAGCTCTTCCCAGATTCCAAAAAGGGGCAGAGGAGTGAGCTGCTTCCATCTCACAGGCATGGAAACTCCCTGTCCCAGGGTCTCCTCCACCAGGTGCCGGCCACGAAGGCCCCTGCTCCTGACCCCTGGGCGGGGCTGCTCCCCGGCTAGTGTTCCTGGTTCTTGGGTGGTCGGAGCTCCTCTGGGTGGAGGATGGGGATAAGGAGGCTGACTGCTTATACACATCAGAATGGGACGGAACTTTGGAAATGTCAACAAACGAATTCTCAAAAACCTTGAATAAGAAATTATGAAAATCCCCGTTCTTCAGATCCAAACTGAAACACCAGTTAAAAGACCGGGCGCAGAGGCTCACGCCTGCAATCCCAGAACTTTGGGAGGCCAAGGAGAAGGATCCCTTGAGGCTGGGAGTTTGAGACCAGGCTGGGAAACACAGTGAGATCCCATCTCTACAGAAAACAGAAAATTTCTTGGGTGTAGTGACGTGCATCTGTGGCCCCAGCACCTCCAGAAGCTGAGGTGGAAGGATCCCTTGAACCCAGGAGGTGGAGGCTACAGTGAGCTGAGATCATGCCATTGCACTCCAGCCTGGGCAACAGAGGAAGACCCTGTCTCTTAAAAAAAAGAAAGAAAGAAAATGAAATGTTAATGTGATGCCGAAGATAAAAGAGGAGCGTGAAGTAGACGGCGGTGGGGTCTGAGTCATCTTGAATGAGCTGGGTTGAGGGAGTCAAGGTCAACACTTCTCAGAGGAGATCCGCCTCAAGGCATCCTCAGATAAGGTCTCAGACATTGACAGGAAGTGACCGTGAAGCACCCTCACTGCTTGGTTCCAAAGCTCAGGAATGAAAGACAGGGAGGGCCGGGCACTGTCCCGAGGCAGCGGCGGAGGTGCTGGCCACAGCGGGTTCGTGGACTTTGCAGATTCGGGCCTGCACTTCCTGCATTCGTTGAGCACCTACTGCGTCCAAGACACCACCAAGGAGAAGACAGACAAGACCCCTGTTCTGGAGGGAGAGGAATAAAAATAATAATGCCTCTCACCCGGGGCATGCCCGGCTTTGGGCACCCAGGGGCACGTGGGAGCCAGGTTGCGGATGCCCAGAGACACGGGTGCAGAGCACAGGCTGGGATGGGAACCCCGGGCGTACGGGGGAGGTGGGGCCAGTGCTTCTGCAACCAAAGGACCCCCCTTCGGGAGGGGCCGGTGAGCAGCCAGGAAGGGGGCCTTGGAGCTGAGACCTGCTGAGGGTTTTTGGGGCCCCGTCCCCGATTTGAGAAAGCAAGCTGGGCCCAGCCTGATTCTTTGGTTTCCCGCAGCAGGGATTGGGCCGGAGTCCGCAGCAGGTCGGTCTCTGGACTTGCCTCCATCTGTCCTCTGCGCCTGTGGCGTGGCCCTTCATCCAGAAGCTCTCAGCCATAGGACAGCTTCACCATTTTCAAGTGTTTTCCGAGGGGGTCACACTGTGGGTCAGCGACGTCACGAGCCCAGGAGTGAATACACGACACAGCGACGTTAAAGTTTGTGAGCAGCTTCTTCGGAGAACGGCAGCACAGCTTCACGTTCAAAGGAGTGAAGGCAGGAGACAGTGAGGCCTCTGCTTGCTCAAATCCTGGGGGTGCGGAGGGCGGACCTGGGGCCCCGAGGGGAGGGGGCAGGGGGCGGTGCAGCCAGAACTGCGGCCTGCGGGACAGCGGCCACCCGCTTTTCCTCCCCACCCGCCCCATCCAGCGTCACCAGGACCAGGACTGCTCCCAAAGTCGCGTTGTCCGCGAGGGCAGGAGAGTTTGGAAAGGAGCGGCAGGTGACGGTCTCTCTCTGTCTCCCCCGCCCACGCAGGGACCGGTCCCCACCCCCCATTCCCCCCAACAACCAAACCCCCGGCACTGCCAAAACCCGCCACGCGGACGTGCGATCCCACACACCGCCTCCGGACGAAATTCGGCCGCGGTGTCCACGGGGGCTTGCACCCGGGTCGCCTCCCACGTGGACAGGAGGAGGGCGCATCTGCGGCGGGAGGGCAGCGGTCGGGGGTCCGGAGTGTCCGGCCCTGGCCCGGGGGCGCTGCCCGCGAGGTGGGGGGCTCTGCTGGCGGAGAGGCGGGTGGGGGCGCGGGGAGGGGAGGGGAGGAAAAGGGGAAGGGAAGGGGGAGGGAAAGGGGGAGGGAAAGGGGGGAGGGAAGGGGGAGGGAAAGGGGAGGGAAAGGGGGAGGGCAGCCGCGGGCTGGGGCGGGCTCGGGGCGGGCTCAGGGCGGGTTCGGGGCGGGCTCCGCGCTCCATCCGCCCCCTCGCGCTCGCGCCGCGCTCGCCCTTCTCCCGCCAGCCTGTGCCGCCGCCGCGAGCCAAGTTTGCGCGGACCCCGTCCCGCGAGCCCGCCGCGGCCATGGACGCGCCCGCCCGGCTGCTGGTCCCACTCCTGCTGCTCTGCGCGCAGCTGCTCCGCGGCACCCGGTGAGCCGGCGGGGTCCGGGGGTCCGGGGTGTCGGGGGGGGGGGGTCGAGGGGAGTCGGGGGATGGGGGGTCCCGCTTCTACCCGAGAGGGCGGCTGAGAGAGCGACCGCGCCAACCCGCGCCCCGGACCCCGAGTCTGCGAGCCCCGCGTCCTCCCTCCTCCCCCGCGTCCTTCCTCCCCCGGGTCTCGCCCTCGGGCGCCCGCGGCGAACTCGCGCGACGCTGCCCTTGGCCCGGGACGCGGCTACCGCGCCCCCGCCCGGTGCTGTCCGCCGTCCGGTGCTGAACCGGCGCCCCGAGTGAGGCGAGGGCGTCCGAGCCCCCCCCCCCGGTTCCTACGGCTCCGCCGCGCGGTGAGGGTCCCTGGTCCCCGGCACTCGGGGGTCCCGCCGCGGACCGCAGGCAGGAGGGAGGAGGGACCCGGGACCTCGGCGGGAGGCGCTTTCCGTTACCCGAATGAGCTTCCCCAGCCGACCGGTCCGGACGGGCTGGGTTGCTGCGGAGGGTGGGCCCGGCCTCCGGGGGGGCCCTTTCGGAGCCCGTTTCAAATGGTGTAGCCAGAACTCCTGAGAATGTGCAGGTGGACGGCGGCCAGGCGCCCCTGGCAGCAGAAAAGAGATGGTGAATTTCTTAACTATATTGGGGGGGGCTCCCCAGAGAAGGAAGAGGCTGAGAAGAAGGCTTCTCAGGGCTGGGGGCCCCTCTGGCTTACAGATCCCCCCACTTCCCTCCTCTCTGGGGATCTGAAACGGGCTCCCCGGCCACCAGGGCAACTTGGCCGCACCACTGGGCATGGCCACCTTCCCTAGGAGCCACTCACCGGAGGACATTTAGGGGTGTCTTTGAAAATCATCTCAAAGACTTCAGAAGAAACAGCAAAAACCCATCCCCCAGCATTCAGGATCAGAGGCGCTGAAGATGTGGAGGTAGTGGTGGCCTCAGCAGAGGTGGCGGCACCCAGCCCTGGACGAGGTTTGGGGTTTTCCTGTTGGAGGTGCAGGGGACAGAGCCCAGGAGGCCATGTGCCCGTCAGGAGACCTCCGGGCCAGCACTGCCCGGCTCTAAGCAGCCCCTGTCCTGGGAAGAGCTTTGTTCTTCCCTCAATCCCAGTGAGCCTTTCCCCACTTGTCCTTTCCCTCCTTCAAGGTGAGAGGAAGGGCAGAGCATTGGGGCACAATCGTAGATGCTGTGCTGGAGGCATGGGGCCAGCTGCCAGCCCAGGCCCACAGCCACTTAGCCAAGAGGCTGAACTCCAGACGGCTCTGAAACCCGGAAGTTTTAGCCCAGGGTTAACACCAGAGCTCAGTTGGGGGCAAGTCCTGTCCTGCACAGACGTGAGGCTCCTCTCACCTTTATTAATCCTGCGTTGGGGCCTATTTATATATATTTCCTGCCGGGAAATTCTCCAGGCTGCCCCCAGCCCCAGCCCCTGGGTGAACCATCTCCGTTTTCTAAAATCTGAAGATGGTTAATCGTGGCCTGCATCTGGCTCCTGGGCTGTTGGGGAAGGGATTCTGTGCCTGTTTCCCGGGGCAGAAAAACTAGAAGGCCATGGCCCAGCCAGGAGAGCGGCCTCTGGGCCTGTGGTCATTGCATTCCCTGGAGAGGGGTGCCATTGGGTGGCACATTTTGCGTGGTGGGAGGTGTGGTGGGAGGCGCATGCTTCTCCAAGCTCCCATCTCACTCTCTGGGTAAAAACAGCTCCCACCTGGCTGCACACTACAGCCTCTCCTTTGAGGCCATCCTGTCCACACATATGTGCCGGCTCGACCTGCTCCTCTTGATGTCTAGGAGCAGGCCTGCGGGGGGGTCCCCCCAGGGTGGAAGCACTTGCCAGCTCAGCCCTGGGGCCACCTTCAGACTTAGCAGGGTGCTGTCCATGCAGGCCTCTCCTCCCATCCGTGTCTGTGCCCATCCACTCCAGAACCCAGGACAGCTGCTTTCCCTTCCCTGAGTCTCGGGGTCCTTGTCTGGAGCAGTGTTGGAGGTCATGGGACCCATTCCAGCCATCACCCCAGGTCCCCATGGCAGCAGTTCCTGGTGGGAAAGGCTGGGTGCCATAAGAAGGGAGCATCCTGCGTGGCGGCTGTGGGTCGGGCCAGAGTCTGAAGACCCGTGCATGCAGCAGGCATCGAGCTTGCCGCCTGCATGCCCGTGTGGGTGGCCCCCAGGCTGGCGGCACCTCTGTCTCCCTGGAGAAGCAGTGCGGCGGCTCCTGCCATGCCAGCTCGCGGTGCGCTGGTGGCGGGGCTCTTCTTTGCCTTGGTAACTGTGAAGCTGGGAGGCTTGTGCTGCTCTAAAAGCAGAGCTGTGGGATCTGTGGGCTGGGTGTGCACCATGGAGGAGCCTGGAGGGGGAGAATCCTGGCTACACCTACCTTCCCTGTCTGTCCCCAGGACACAGACAAGTGACAGGGATGGGTTTGTTTTTCAGCGGGGCCAGGAGGGCAGGAGGCCAGGCGAGCATGGAAAGCAACTGGAGGGAGAAGCTGCCATGTGTTCATGGTACCCACTCTGTCCCCTGAGTTTGGAGTCCTAAATCCGAGTGTGGACTTGGAGCTCAGTGTAGGGCCCTGGGCCTCTCTGTTCATCTACCCAAAGGAAACTCCAAGCCCAAGCCACCACTGGGCCCCAGGGCCACCAGGTGAGGCAGCAGCCCTCTTCCGAGATCTCCACGACTCACCAGAGTCCAGACGTCCCAACCCCATGCCAAGCCCCCAGGAGCAGGGCATGTGCCCCCAACCCCACTAGCTCTGCCTGCCCTGTACATCCTGAACTGAGGACGTGGGGGCCCTCCAGACCCCAGAGTCTGGCATTAAGCACACTGCCCTCTGCACGCTGGCCCTTCCCATCTGTTCACAGTGGGAAAGCAACCGGCCACTCTCCTAGGTGAGAAATGGTGTGGGGGTGGGAGCCTGCTTCCTTCTCGCACCCAGGGGATGGCAAAGGCGCCTCCAGGTGAGCTTCATGGCAGGGCTGCCCCTGACCTTGCCTTTGTGCACCCCCACACATGCCACCACCCCAAGATGGGCAAGAGACGTGGCCCAGGAAGGACGGTGTCTCCTATGGCCTCGTTCCAGGCAGGCTAGATGGCAGCTGGGCTGGTCCAAAAATAAAGCCTCACTCAGATCCCTTTGTGTCTGACCTTCAGGGCGACTTCCATTTGCATTTTTAATTGTGCTTTACTCAGGCCAGGACTTAATTTGATTTCATCTTATCGTTGGTCACCAAAGTGCCTGCCCCCTGTAGCCCTGCGAGGGCCACTCCTGGGGGTCCAGTGGGCGTGGTGTCATGGGTCTGGACGGACAGCAGCCCTGGACGCTGCCTTTGGGTTGCTCCTCTTGCCAGAGTTGGGCCACCGTGGTCGTCCGGGACAGATCGGGGTTGGCAAAATCTCGTTAGGTGAGGAGCGTTTGGTTCAAAGTCAAAATCTGCTGAAGGCCAGTGTGTGAAACAAGAAGAAACGTGGTTCCGATGGAGAGAGGGCCTGAGCCCCGCCTGCTGTCTCCCAAACCCCGGTGGTCCTCAGGGGCCCCAGGATGCTCCTGAGGATAAAGTGTACCTAGCAGGGTCAAGGCAAGACTTGGGGAGAGGCAGGGGGAGTGTCCACCTCCCTGCGCCCTTGTGCTTCTACAGAACTGCGGGTTTAACATTTGGATCTGCTCACGCAGCACTGTGGGCCGGACTGAGCCTGAAGCCCCGGACCCCTGGGCCCCACCCCTTGCCTCTCCCTTCGGAATCCCAGGACTCAAGGGGGCTGGAGCTGGAGCTGGAGAGACAAGGAGAGTGGGCTGCAGGTGGCCTTCATGGGATGCTGGGGAAGGGGCTGCTCAGGGTGGGGCTGGTGGCCCAGCCTCAGCTTGGCTGTGCCTGACAGGCAGTGCAGAGGGGTGCCCCGAGCCTGGGTCACAGCCTCTGAGGGAGCAGAAGGCCAAGGGCTGTGGCAGGAGGCGCAGTCAGAAGGGTCCTGGGGAGTCAGGTGTGGAGGAAGCCAGGGCTGTGCTCGTCGCTTGCTGGCCTGGTGGAGTGGCCCAGCATGGGGCGTCTGCTCGAGGCTGTGTCCAAACTGGGCTTGCTGGGGAGCAGGAGGCCGCTGACTCAGGTCTCTACCCCTCACCTCTCCGGGAGGGTTCGGGCCAGGCTCAGGGGCTTGGTGAGCCAGAGGCCATGCCTGAAGCCACTCCACCGGCTTGGGTAGAAGTGATTCTGAGGATTCAGGGGGGTTATTCTCAAGGCCCCACGCCAGGACCAATCCCCGCCCTGTGTGCAGGAGGACAGGTGTGACCATCGTCACAAACTGGACAGCTCCAAACAATGGACGCTCAGGAGGCCAGAAGCTGGAAATCACGGTGTGGGTGGGGCTGGTTCCCTGGAGGCTCTGAGGGAAGCTCTGTTCCCGGCCGGTCTCCAGCTCCGGCGGTGGCAGAAACCTCGGTCTTCCTTGGCCTGTGGACACCTCACCCCAATTTCTGCCTCCACAGTTGCTTCCTTCTTCTCTTCTCAGGACAGTGGTGCTTGGGTCTAGGGCCCACCCAATCCAGTGTGGCCTCATCTTAACTAGCTACAGCTGCCGAGATCTTACTGCCACATAAGCTCATGTTCCGAGGCTCTGGTAGATGTGCACTTTGGGGGCCACTGTTGAACCCAGTGCAGGCGAGCAGATGGGGCCGGGGGTGCTGGGGTGCTCCTGGCTCTGGCAGCATGGTGTGCATGGGGAGGGGATGCCTCTCTCAAGCGTGGGCACCCCCGGGTCCTGAGCTGCTCCAAGGTTGAGCTAAACCCCAGGAGCACATGGCGCTTGGGGACCTGGGTCCCACCCTGGGCCCTCCTGGGAGGAGACAGAGCAGGAGGCTGTGCGCCCTGGTTTTGGGGCTCTGTCCACTTCCTGTCCCTACTCCTTGCCTCCTCCTCACATTCCCCTTCTCCACACCACCTACCACTTTGCCCTCAGAAGCTGACAGGGAGGCATCTTCAGTGAGGGACCCCGGTGGTGGAGACCCTGAGACCAGCCTCCGAGGGCTGGCAGAGGAGGGAGTCAGGGAGGCTGTTATCCTGGGAGCTCAGCCCACGCCAGGCCACCTCCCTCAAACCCAGGAGGGCAGAGTGCACGCTGAGGTGGGAGGAGGAAGCCGAGTCAGGGCCGGTGGAAGAGTCTGAGGACCTTCCTGGCGTCCTTCTGGCCAGCCAGAGCCTCAGGGACTGGCCAGGCCCCCGCCTGCCAGGGCTCCCACAGCAGGACCCTTGCGCCCTGGCCCAAAACAGGTGCCCAGAACAGTGTCGCGTCCCCAGAAGGGACCCGGGCTCGCTGGAATGCAGTTAAGTCCTGGCCCATCTGACCAGTGGCCTTGCATCCCCAGAGCAATGAATGACATCGGCGACTATGTGGGCTCCAATCTGGAAATCTCCTGGCTCCCCAACCTGGATGGGCTGATAGCTGGCTACGCCCGAAACTTCCGGCCGGGCATCGGAGGTGAGGGGTCATCCAGGCCGACAGGAGCCATGGTAGCCGGGCGAGGCTGTGGGTGTGTGGCCCACTGGGCTCTGGGCAAGGGAGGCTGGCTATCCCAGGAGGCTCTGTCAGAGCCAGGCCCCCACAGAGACTGCCAGGGAGGTGCAACTTCCAGGGCTGTGACGGCCGACTGCGTGTGACTGGGACCCTGGACGGGTCCTATCCTGGCTGCCGCGCTGGGCCAGCCTCTGCCCTCCTGAGTTCTGCCTCTTCCTTGAAGGTCCCCCCGTGAATGTGGCCCTCGCCCTGGAGGTGGCCAGCATCGACCACATCTCAGAGGCCAACATGGTAGGTGCCCCGGGCACGGTGGGTACCCACAGCCTCTGTCCTGGGCTGCACATCCCTGGGGGAGGAGCGAGCTGACCCCCGGCTCCCCCTCCTCCACAGGAGTACACCATGACAGTGTTCCTGCACCAGAGCTGGCGGGACAGCAGGCTGTCCTACAACCACACCAATGAGACCCTGGGCCTGGACAGCCGCTTCGTGGACAAGCTCTGGCTGCCGGACACCTTCATCGTGAATGCCAAGTCTGCTTGGTTCCACGATGTGACGGTGGAGAACAAGCTCATCCGGCTGCAGCCCGACGGCGTGATCCTGTACAGCATCCGGTGAGCGGGCGCCACACCGGCCCAGGCGCCGCGACAGCGCCCAGATGCTGCGAGGCTCTGGAAGGCTCGAGCGGCTTCTGCTGCTGGGAGTTGGGGGTGGGGGCCGAAGCTGCACAGTTATTTTTATCCCCCGCAGCTGCTGGGGAACAGCCGCTCCAAGGTCGCCGACAGGAAGCCGGCAGATGTGGCTTTTTGGCCAGCGCAGTGCCTTTTGGTTTTGAAAATGAGGTGGAATTCACATAACATGAAATTAACCTTTTTAAAGTGAACAATTCGGTGGCATCTGGCAGATTTGCCACGTAGTGCGACCCACCTCTGTCTAGCCCAAAGCATGTCAGGACCCCAGAAGGAGACGCAGCCTCGGAGCAGGTCCTCCCTGCGCCGCCCTGCGGGGCCCCAGTGGCCACGGGTTTGTGCTCAGTCTCTGTAGATCTGCCCAGAGACAGAAAGCTCATCGAAAAGAAATCGCACGCTGTGTGTGGGACCCTCTGTGACTCCGACTTCGTTCCCAGCTTTTTGTCCTTAGGGTTCATCCCTGCTGAAGCTGGGGTCGGGGTGCCTTCCCCTTCACGGCCAGGTGATGCCCACTGCAGGGACGCGCCGCACCTGCCTCCCATCCGTCTACCAAGAGTGCTTGGGTGGCTTCCAGCACTGGCGAATGTGAATACGCTGCTATGAACATGTGCGCGCGGATTCGTTTGACAGCCTGTTTTCAGACACATGCCTCTTAAAAATGGAATTAGTTCACAACATTTGAAAAATCAAAAGGCAGCCAGGTGCAGTGGTTCATGCATGTAATCCCAGCACTTTTTGGAGGCTGAGGTGGGAGGATCTCTTGAGCCCGGGAGTTGGAGACCAGCTTGGGCAACAGAAAGAGCATCGTGCCTCTACAAAAGTAATAAAAAATATTAGCTGGGCTTGGTGGTGTGCACCTGTGGTCTCAGTTACTTGGGAGGCTGAGGTGGGAGTGAGCCCAGGTTGTCGAGGCTGTAGTGAATCGAGATTACACCACTGCACTCCACCTTAGGTGACAGAGTGAGACCCTGTCTCAAAGACAAATAAAAAAATTAGGATATTTTACACAAGAATTTAAATATCTGACCTCTCCTAGAAAATCAAGTGCGTGGCAGCTCTGGGCCTATTCCCATGTGGCCCCCAGTCACTTGGGCCAGGGTCTGGGTGCTCAGGCCCCTGTGCCAGTTCTTGATAGTCCTAAAGGAAGACTCGCAAACGTCTGTGACATTGAGCATAGTTTTCAGGTTTATCCAGATTCTGGGCAGCTAGCAAAGCCTGGGATGTAGCTGGGGCTCCAGGCAGCCCCAGTGCTCAGGGGCT